AAAAAAAAAAAATGTCCAGTCTAACTTACCTCCTTTTCCTTCTTTGACTTTCCCTTTCCCTTTTCCTTCTCCTCGGTCCCGTTCTTTTCCCGTTTAGAGGCTCCCTTCCTGTACTGCTCCAACTCATCATCCTTCTGCTTGCGCATCGCATCAATGGCCGGCTCCCCAAACCCATTCTCGCCGGCATCGTACAGCCGCTTGAGAAACGGATCGCTGTTGCGCCTGCCGTCCACGTGTTTGGGTGGAAAGAGACTGTCGAACGGGGCCTTCCAGCGGTCGATCTCCGCGTCGCCGGTGGAGCGGAAGTCACTCATATCGCACACCGTCGGGTCGCCAATGTCGGCGAAGGTGTCGGTGTCTGGCAGCACGAGAACAGGGCCACGCTCGGGGTCGAGTTCAATCAGCCGCGGGTCGAATGGGACGAGAAAGACGAGATGATTCATCAACGCCCGCAGTTTGCTGGCGTCCGTCTCTGCCGTGAAGATTAAATACGCACCGTAGAGATGGGCGAGGAATCGCATGGAACGTACCATTGTCTTCATGAGAGGCATGTCTCCCGCAAAGGCGTCTAATTTATTACAGACGATAACAATGGGTAGACCGGGAATGCGGATGCGATCCTTGTCGGGATGATCCACGCCCAATGTTCGCATACATCGATTGATTAACTTATCAGGTGTGGTTGAACCTTTTGCACGCATCTTTTGCATAATTTCATTCATACGACGATCCACACGCTTTAACCAATACGTCACCGTCTCCCACATAGTGGAAGGATCAGAGCAATCCACTACAATCATTAACAACATGGAATGAATATTGTCTGGTGTAATAACAACATCACATAGTTGTGATAACTCTGTACCTTGAGCCAATTCCCATAAATGTGCTATTTGTGAAACATGTCGATCCGTTCGCCTTGCAAAGGTGTAATCCAATGCCGTTGTTGGCTTCAGTTTTACACTCCCTTTACTAACAGCACTACCAGATGTACTTATAGATGAAAAAATACGATGTAAGACACTAGTTTTTCCTCCACCTGAAGTACCAACAACTAACAAGTTTATTTCTGTCTGTGTGGGTTGATTATCTTTGGTGTTTAGTGCAATATTCTGCCAGAGATCTTTTCGCGGGTCAACGACAACTTGTGGCATCATTGGATTCTCTGCAGTTACGGGTGAGGCGTTCTCATCCCGGGCGGGGTCCTCCACCGGTAGATGAACCGGCGAACTGGGTTCTACATCACTGCCTACGAGTTTACCATTACTTCCCTTCACAGTAGTACTGGTCTGGCCATTCATTTTGAATAAGTGAATGAATGAATGATTGCGCTAATTCCTGTAGTTGTTTGTTTATTTGTTTCTTTGTTTTGTTTTATTATTTTTGTTTTCTTCTTTTTTTTTTTCGATTTCTTTTGCTGTGTTGGACTTTTATTCTTTTCTTTTTTTTTTCTTGTTCAGATTGCTTGGCGGAGTCTCTCCCTCTTTCTCTCTTTTTCCCTACTTTACCCCTTCACTTTCAATGGACTTGTACCTTCTTAAACTGGTAATGTGTACGTACGTATGTTTGTGTTCTTTTCTCTTTTCTTCCTTTCTTCGTTTGTTTGCGTTACGGAGACTCCTCACAGAAGCGGGGAGGGAAACCGACAGCAGTTGAACACAGCAGCAGTGCCGACCTACTACAGCTAACATGGGAAGATAGAGAAATAAAGAAATAAAGAAAAGGAAGTAGAAATAGAAATATACATTTTACTTTTTATTTTAACACTCATATATATATATATATATATATATATAGATAGATAGATAGATAGATAGATAAATAGATAGAGAAAGAGTTGATTTTGTATACTGTAGTCAACAGATGAGACATTATCACGCCCTTTATGGTCCCCCAAATTTCATTTTTTCGTCATTCCTCTTTCTCACTGAATTAACGCAGTGATAATTACCAGGGGAGGGAGGGTGAACTGAATAGAAAATAAAAACAGAAATAAAAA